GTGTGCAAAGGGCTTTTCTGTCGGGAATTCCAAAGTAGAATGCATAATAAACATAATGAGCCAAGAATGTGGTATCTTTACTGCCATATACTGAATCGACAAAAAACTGAGCATTGGGAATTGAAGTCTTTAATTCCTTTGGGCAAGCTGCTTCAAGTTCGCGAAGATGACCTTGGAGATGTGCCGGATCAGCCACCGATGGTATAGCACAAAAGTCTTTAATTCCTTCTTTCACGGTATCAAAATATAAACTAGTGTTGTGGCTTTTCTCAAAGAGGTTGTGAATTATATTTGCAAGTTTAATTGATGATGCATATTCGTCAGGTTGATGAAATTTTTGCCAGAGTGCCTTTTGACATTTAGAGCATGAAGAAACTCCATAAAAGGGTTCACAAGTGTGTGTAACTGCCCAAGAATTTACAACTGAAGTATTAATCGTTACGATAGTGAATACAATCAATAAAAATAAAAATGTTGATTTCATATTTATTATTTTTGAGTTTATCGGCTTAATAGATCAAAAAAAAGAAGAAATTATTCACAAATCAGATCGATAAGAAATTTGAAAAGGGCCAAAAACCGTCATATTTATATGAAAGCAAAATTTATTTTCTTGATATGTGTATGGATAGAAAAGAGAAGAGAACCTAATAATAATATTGTGTGCGTGCATTGCATCATCTCTTGTTCATAGGAAGGAAGGAACAATCAGTGTAAATGAGGAAAGAGAGAAAATGGTGGTTGTGAAAGACAAATTAATTATAATGTTTGTTATTAATCATTATATTCGACGTTATTGCCATAAAAAAATTTTATAGAAAATAAAATATTCCTAAAATTGTAAAATCTTTAGAATACGGCTAACTGGCCTGGTTTGAATTATTTTGTTTGATTGGCTAAAATTTTTTTATACTTTTAGTCATACACATGTAGTAAATCGGTTTAAAAATTCAAATTTAATAATAATCCTAATTTAGTAATTATTAAATAATTAAAAAACAATGTGCTCGCATACACACCCACATTAATACATGTTGTAGTAGTATATCTTTAAGGGTTGGTTATTCTCTCATGAATAAATGACTAAAAGCTGACGATGATATTTCATTTTCACGTATAACAACATAAAATTTGCTTGTTTAAAAGGCGTATATATATCTTTTAAGATCCTAAACAATCATAACAATAAACAATCCTGCAGTAAATATTTTTAGTTTTTTTTTATTTATACGAGTCCTTAAATTTGTTGGATAGATCCTTTAACATAAAATTTACAAAGATTCTCAAGAAATCCTATACAATTAGGTCAAATAAAAATGACGACAGTAGAAGCCAAATTATGCTTAAAATATACTCTTTTTTTCAGTCACACGAAGTTAATTTTTGTTTACGCGCTTTAGTGTCAAAAAGAAAAATTTCAAAAATGCTGTTTCTTTTTTGGATCGAGAAAGAAAAATAATCTTTAAAAAGGTAGGTAGGTGCTTTTGAAAATATACAAGTTCAAACATAATAAGTATCTTAAAGTCTTTGGAGTATTATTGTATCATTATTTAAAAAAGAATAGAGGTATTAATAAGAATCCTTAAGTAATACAACTAGAACTGTTGGTCTATTTCATTTCATTCATTAAAAAGAATATTATCATTAATGCAGATTACTAACATTGTATTAATATTTGTTTTATTCAAAAAAACGGATCTATAGTTAAACGACTAATTATTGTTACTCGACCATCAAAGAAAAACAATCATTAAAAAATACCCTAGTTGATATATATATATATTACTAATGGCAACGGATACTATTATTAATAATAATTCCTATTGAATATATAACATTGTATTAATATTAACATTTGCTTTCGAAAACGGATCTATGGTTAAATAATTAATTATTGTTATATATACGACCATCAAAGGAAAAATATATATCAAAATACCCTGTCGATACTACTAATGACAATAGGTAATTATTGTATATATGACATTGTATTAATTCTTCCATGGTTGAATGACGGATGATTGTTACGCTGCCATCAAAATTATTCTCGTCGATGTTACTAATGGCAATCGTTTTACAGTATTTGAAAAACCATTGTAAAAACGGTTGTTATGCTTCACAATGTGAAACCTGTATGAATTACGTTTTTTCTACCAGTGCTTATGCCTTTTTTGTTACATAATTTTCAGGGCCATGAAAAATTTACTCCAGTTTTTAACTTTGCCTAAATTATTAACAGTTTCTATACAAAACCTAAAACCAAACCCAAACTACACTAAATTGGTTGTCGCAATATTAGACATTGCACTTTCAAATCATATTGATCTAGCTCTTGCTAATTCAGCACTAAGTTTTCTCAAAACTCTTCCAGTTTCATATCAAATGATTCTTTTGGAGCTTTCTTTAGTAAATATATGGTAACTAGACCTGATTATGTGGATTTGTTTTTGGTGCGGCTTCTAAATTTATTCAATTCTATAAATAGAACAGTGGCAATGTATTATTACCTGCATCGCTATTATTATTACTATTTACTTTCTCTTTTTTTTTTTTTGCTACTAGGAGTGATGAAATTTCAGATTCTTTGTCATCATTGTATGCATTTTAAAATTAACGTAATTTTGATGAATGTGTATACTACAAAGAATTGCTTTATTTGTTGTATAACATCCGTGTATTTTAAAGCACCACTATTTTTCACTGCAACGCTTACATACTGCACTTGTATTAGTTTCATCATTAGAATTGTTTATTAAAATAAAAAAATTATCTGTAAAATGTGGATTAGGCATATTTTATTAGGTATTAAATTCTTTCTTTAATTGCTTCGGGCAGAGTGATAATTTTTCTCTGGAAGTTTTGGCATTAGTTGACATTCTGTTAATTCAAATTGGTTAATCAATGGCAAACGACAAATAACTGATTGTCATAGTATATGACCATAGTCATAAACATTTCATATATAGAAATTTAATGAAAGCAGTGTTGGTAATGACGGTTATTTAATTTTTGGACAAAAAAAAATTTAAATAAAATCACATGACATAAGTAGATTAATTGTTGATCCGTAGTCGGCAGTAAAATTTTTGGGTTAAAAGTTTGACGATCTACTATTACCCATGATAATTTGCCCAACTCTTTAAAGTATGCTCCAGTTGCATATGAATTTTGTGGAAAAATACATGATTATTGTATAACTCTTTTAAGGGAGTTACCTATAATCAAAAATGATATGGTTACTACTATCTACAAGGTAATCCAGTTTTCATAATTGCAGATAGTTCCCCTCCCTGTATGAAAAAATTTGAACCATCAACAAATATATAAACGAGCCCGATGGGCTCTTTTGTGCCAGCTACATCTTCTGCTATTCGGTATGGGCGGGTATCAGTAAAAACCTCCACCAGATTCCAATCAGTTTTTTGTCACATCATTAAATAATTTGCAATTCATGATAACTGACATACATTGTGGTTAATAATAAGAAATTCGATTAATAAGGATCGGCTTTTATGGAAATTTAAAAGTGACAAAACATCCCACTTTAATTTTCATTAGATTAAATAAAGCCACATTCGCATTATGGGCTAAATGCAAGAGAATAGAGAGTAAAAGTGAGATATAACTAAAATCTAATAATGCCTTTTTTTTAAAGAATTATTACTTGTGCAACCAGAAAGTATAGTTTGATAATTTCTTTTTTATTTAAGTCTGTAGTTTCTGGATCTAAAGCAAAATTTTATTTTTATAAAGTTTTAGAAATTGTTGTTCAAGTAACATCATACTTGGCTATTAATTCTCTTTATGTTGATTTGGTTTGATCAAAAGCTCTTTACAAATTCTATGTTTTTCAAGAAAAAATAAATTGTCCTTGGTTCTTTTTTTTAATCAATTGAAATATTATTAATATCTGTAAATTGATTGATTGATTTGCCACCTATTTAAGTCTTTGAAGCATTGTACCTTAGTAAATTATAATTACTATCATAATAATTATCATAAATTTATTTGCTTTAATATTGTTATTATTATATTTAAAAAACATAAGAAAATAATATAACAGTTGATTTATAATGAGTCGATATAAGGTTTTTAAAAAAATTTTCATAGAGACTGAATGGGACTGCGGACTGAATCGGTCTAGTCATAGGTATCAAAAACCGTTTGGGCCATTTGGACCATTAAATTTTTTATCATATTTTAATTTATTCAATTCAATTATTAATATATTTTAAAAAGAATATATACCGTTATATATATATATATTAATTCAATATTTATCACTCACATCTAATTACAAATTGATTAATTAATTAATTATATAGTAAATATCTAATTGTTTGACGACATAGGATTAGGGCATTTAATGCTGTAACAAATTGACGAAATTTATCTTGCACTATCACTAAAAATAATTGTAAATTTACAGCAATCCATTCAATCATACTAATACGTATTATAATATACTTAGGTTCAGCCTCGTTATAAGGTCGGAATTGGTAAGAAGTGTGTGCTTTTTGTCTACTAATATTTGAATGAATTGAAGTGTTTATAGAAGAGATTAAATTGTTCCGCATATAAATTATATTTGAAAGTGAATCTTCAATTTTTTCAAAACGATTCCATACATCAGAAACAGGTAAATTATGGGCCAGGAAGAATAACAAAAGAAAGTTTCGGTACTTTCATAACCATCATTAATGAATGACATGATAAAACCCGTCAGAATTAATGTCGGGATATTGTTTATCGAAATTTATGTTTGAACGGTTTCGAATTAAGTTACTACTTATTGTTGGATAAATATTTTCAAAAAAAAAAATTTTTCCTTGTGAAATTATGACTTCATCATTTTACCTATTATGGTAAATTTCGTTTAAGGAAATTTTATGATTTTGATTTTTCCCAAATAAAGATTTTTAAAAAAAAAAATTATATAATTAACCGGTTAAGGTTTTTTTAGCCGGTTCCAACTTTCTTTGGACAAGTTATTCTTGAAAATGAACGCATCAAGAGCCGTATTTTCTAAAATTTTTTGGCCAGCACATGCTTGTTCATTACATACTAAACCAGGATTCTTAGTTGGTTGGAATGTTCGTAGTTTTACAGCATGTGTTGCTGCAGTAATATCTAATGTTAAGCTTAGTGATTTAGAGACTACATTGTCTGCCTTGTCAACAGATAATAGTTCATCATTCATATATATGGAAACGGTTTGTGGTGAACCTCCAATAGTTTTGGGTGTAATGACTACCGCACATTCAGATAATGAAAGTGAAACAGATAATACTCTTTTAGAAGGTATGACCATATTTTGAAAAATTTTTCTTTCCTTTTTTCTAAATATTATATTTAATTTTTTATCAATTAGAAAAAAAAAAATCTGCATCTTTTTGGATGACAATGCATTTACAGAATAATAATTTGCCATCATTAAGGTTGGAGATAAAGAGCTATCTTATTCTTTTTTTTTTTTTTTGAAGAGAATGCTTAAAAATTAATTTCTTTCTTTTAAACAGATCAATACATTGTTGTGGCTATCGTTATCGAGATGTAAGTTCAGAAATTATTTTTTACAAGCAACCAAATCCAACTAGGCTACAATACCTCTCACTTGAACCATTAGTGTTGGATATTCAGCAAAATAGTGGACAAATTATTGAAAAACACTCAATCGCACTAAAAAGTAGGAAAAAACTTATAAATTCTCAAAGACAAATGAATACTATGTATCTTATCTTAAATCAGGTAGTATATTACAATCATCATGACATAATGATGTTAATTTGAATATAATAATATTATGATTTGGTATCATTTGACATTTAGATTCTAATTTTAGATTAATTCATCATTTGAAACTGAGAAAGCCATATTAACCAGATGTCGCCTTTTCACCATAAGACGTAATAGACGTAGCACAAGTGTTTCAGAAACAGTTAAAAAATCAGCAGTTGGAATAGGGAAATTCATAAAAAACAGTTTTCTCTATCCAATACATTACGCTATTCCTATGATTCGGCCAATAATTGCACAGCCTATGATTTATTTGTTGATGTTGGTTAGAATATTTGCAGAATTAATACTTTGGATTTTAAATCTAAGATTTCCAACATGGATGTTTAATGGAACAGCATTAAAGGATTTATCCGCAACATGTATAACAGTTTTTTATTAAAATATAAATTTATTTATTTATTTATTTAATAATATTAATTTTATTAAAATAAATTACAGTGCAGCAAATTGATTTACGTCTTCAACAAGCATGTTTTTGGTCTTGGCAATATATGCTACTTAGACGAAGGGATTGGACTAATACTGCAACAACAAGAGCACAATATATAAGGTAGCAATGAGTATCTTTAAAGTACATAATAAATATTACTTTTATAATTATCATTAATAATTTAATTGAATATAATCTTATTTTAGTTTCTACAATAGTATGTGGCTTGTAGCAAATGATATAATAATTGGTGTCACATTTGGATCCTTTCTTTTTAATAATAGTGAACACGTTGCAAATATTATTTTGAAGGAGTATCTTGATGTAAGAAGATTTTAATTATCCATTTAAAATTTCAAATATATTAATGAAAATTAAATGATTTTTATTATTTCCATTGTTTGTTTCAGCATTACACTATAGCAAAATTAGTGTCTATGATTGATTGGTTGATGGGTTGGCCAGCTGGTTTAAAATTAAACAGTGATCTTAATAAATTTATGGGAGAATTGTTTTTGTGGCTAATTGATTTATGGAGAGGTTAATTTTATTTTTTTTATTATTTTTTTTTTAAATGCATTATTGTTATAATTTTTGGGATCTAAAACTTTAAAAAAACACTTTTTTGTAAAAATAGATTGTGTTGCAGATGTGGGTCCATTAACACCTAAAATAATGCAAATTATCGGATTATCTGGAATGTTGGGTGCATCTATGGTTATATCACTTCTTTCAGATTTTTTATCCTTTATGACATTACACATATATTTGTTTTATATGGTTGCTGCTAAAATATATAATTGGCAACTTACAATATTATATTCCTTGTTTAATTTATTTCAAGGTAAGGTTTCTTATATGGAATTTTTTTGTCCTGTTATAGTTAAAAAACTGATATTATATGAAGTTTCGTTTGATTTATAACTTTCATAACCATCATTAATGAATGACATGATAAAACCCGTCAGAATTAATGTCGGGATATTGTTTATCGAAATTTATGTTTGAACGGTTTCGAATTAAGTTACTACTTATTGTTGGATAAATATTTTCAAAAAAAAAAATTTTTCCTTGTGAAATTATGACTTCATCATTTTACCTATTATGGTAAATTTCGTTTAAGGAAATTTTATGATTTTGATTTTTCCCAAATAAAGATTTTTAAAAAAAAAAATTATATAATTAACCGGTTAAGGTTTTTTTAGCCGGTTCCAACTTTCTTTGGACAAGTTATTCTTGAAAATGAACGCATCAAGAGCCGTATTTTCTAAAATTTTTTGGCCAGCACATGCTTGTTCATTACATACTAAACCAGGATTCTTAGTTGGTTGGAATGTTCGTAGTTTTACAGCATGTGTTGCTGCAGTAATATCTAATGTTAAGCTTAGTGATTTAGAGACTACATTGTCTGCCTTGTCAACAGATAATAGTTCATCATTCATATATATGGAAACGGTTTGTGGTGAACCTCCAATAGTTTTGGGTGTAATGACTACCGCACATTCAGATAATGAAAGTGAAACAGATAATACTCTTTTAGAAGGTATGACCATATTTTGAAAAATTTTTCTTTCCTTTTTTCTAAATATTATATTTAATTTTTTATCAATTAGAAAAAAAAAAATCTGCATCTTTTTGGATGACAATGCATTTACAGAATAATAATTTGCCATCATTAAGGTTGGAGATAAAGAGCTATCTTATTCTTTTTTTTTTTTTTTGAAGAGAATGCTTAAAAATTAATTTCTTTCTTTTAAACAGATCAATACATTGTTGTGGCTATCGTTATCGAGATGTAAGTTCAGAAATTATTTTTTACAAGCAACCAAATCCAACTAGGCTACAATACCTCTCACTTGAACCATTAGTGTTGGATATTCAGCAAAATAGTGGACAAATTATTGAAAAACACTCAATCGCACTAAAAAGTAGGAAAAAACTTATAAATTCTCAAAGACAAATGAATACTATGTATCTTATCTTAAATCAGGTAGTATATTACAATCATCATGACATAATGATGTTAATTTGAATATAATAATATTATGATTTGGTATCATTTGACATTTAGATTCTAATTTTAGATTAATTCATCATTTGAAACTGAGAAAGCCATATTAACCAGATGTCGCCTTTTCACCATAAGACGTAATAGACGTAGCACAAGTGTTTCAGAAACAGTTAAAAAATCAGCAGTTGGAATAGGGAAATTCATAAAAAACAGTTTTCTCTATCCAATACATTACGCTATTCCTATGATTCGGCCAATAATTGCACAGCCTATGATTTATTTGTTGATGTTGGTTAGAATATTTGCAGAATTAATACTTTGGATTTTAAATCTAAGATTTCCAACATGGATGTTTAATGGAACAGCATTAAAGGATTTATCCGCAACATGTATAACAGTTTTTTATTAAAATATAAATTTATTTATTTATTTATTTAATAATATTAATTTTATTAAAATAAATTACAGTGCAGCAAATTGATTTACGTCTTCAACAAGCATGTTTTTGGCCTTGGCAATATATGCTACTTAGACGAAGGGATTGGACTAATACTGCAACAACAAGAGCACAATATATAAGGTAGCAATGAGTATCTTTAAAGTACATAATAAATATTACTTTTATAATTATCATTAATAATTTAATTGAATATAATCTTATTTTAGTTTCTACAATAGTATGTGGCTTGTAGCAAATGATATAATAATTGGTGTCACATTTGGATCCTTTCTTTTTAATAATAGTGAACACGTTGCAAATATTATTTTGAAGGAGTATCTTGATGTAAGAAGATTTTAATTATCCATTTAAAATTTCAAATATATTAATGAAAATTAAATGATTTTTATTATTTCCATTGTTTGTTTCAGCATTACACTATAGCAAAATTAGTGTCTATGATTGATTGGTTGATGGGTTGGCCAGCTGGTTTAAAATTAAACAGTGATCTTAATAAATTTATGGGAGAATTGTTTTTGTGGCTAATTGATTTATGGAGAGGTTAATTTTATTTTTTTTATTATTTTTTTTTTAAATGCATTATTGTTATAATTTTTGGGATCTAAAACTTTAAAAAAACACTTTTTTGTAAAAATAGATTGTGTTGCAGATGTGGGTCCATTAACACCTAAAATAATGCAAATTATCGGATTATCTGGAATGTTGGGTGCATCTATGGTTATATCACTTCTTTCAGATTTTTTATCCTTTATGACATTACACATATATTTGTTTTATATGGTTGCTGCTAAAATATATAATTGGCAACTTACAATATTATATTCCTTGTTTAATTTATTTCAAGGTAAGGTTTCTTATATGGAATTTTTTTGTCCTGTTATAGTTAAAAAACTGATATTATATGAAGTTTCGTTTGATTTATAGGAAAAAAATGGAATACATTAAGGAAAAGAATTGATTCTTGTGATTATGATTTAGATCAACTACTCTTGGGAACAATTTTATTTACTTTATTGACTTTCTTATTTCCCACTGTGGTAGTATATTATGCTACTTTTGCAGCAGTAAGTTTTTTTTTTCTTTTTTGATTTTAAATTATTCTTTTTTTTTTGAATGATAATTTTTCAAAAAAAAACTTTCCTTCCAAGAGCCGTGTTGCTGTAATATTTTTACAGGCAGTCATGGAAACACTGTTAGCATTTTTGAATCATTTTCCCTTATTTGCAATAATGTTAAGGTTCAAAGATCCAGAAAGACTACCAGGTATATTTGGAAATTCCTTGTTTTGTTTTTTGAATATATTCTATTTGTTTATATTAAAAATTCATATTAAAGAAAAAATTTTTAGGTGGTTTAAGATTTGAAATTTGTGATCCTGATTATTTTGCAACGTATGGAATTGCAAGGGTTGTGAAAGGAATAAAATCTTTTTGGCCATGGACAAATAATTCTCATAAAAACATTATTGAAGATCAAACAAAACGATCTATCATTGCAACAAAAGGCAGCTCTTCTATAATACATAATCGAGATTTTAATTCAAAAGTATCTGATCGAGTAATTAGGCTAAGGAAAAATATAATATATGAATCTGATAATGCCTCGATTGTATCGAGCACAACTACATCACCAACAAAGTTATTTCCAAATAATTCTTCTACATTTATATCAGCCCCTAATGTAAGCTATTTATTTATGCAGGTAATTAATTAAATTTTTTATTCTTTTTTTCTTTGTTAAATAATATTTTTAAACTTTCTAATGCTTCTAAAAATCTTATTGTAAGAATTTGCCCATTCCTTTATCAGCAATTTTTTTCCAATATCTTTTATTATGGAAACGTTTAAGTTCTCATTATTTTTCTTTTTATGTGTTAAAATGTCTTGTAAGCGGAGAAACTATAAAACCAATTGCAAGGTTACAATACCCCATGTTACCAGAGACTAGGCAAGTTTAGCATGATATAAATTTTATTCTAATTATATTTTTCATCAAGATTTTTATTTAATACTTGCCATGATTTTTTTATTTTTATTTTTTTAGACCTAATTTAATGAATTTTTGGTTATTCCTTAAAATAAATTTTGCGGTTCAAGAGGAAGAATAATTGCTTGTAATTTAATCATATAATTTTTCCTGTTGTTTGTGGAATAATATTAAAAACTTGTAAAAATTAATAAAGTCAATCAATTATTGTTAATAATTCATACAAAACTTTAAAAAAAAAATCAGCCAAAAATTTTTCAACAAAATTCCTTAAAAAAATATTCTAGATAAATTTGCTCCTCTTTCATTTCACGAAGTTGCAGGTTTCCATTTCATCACCCACCTTCTCTGGATATATTTTTTGAATCAAAAATCATTTCTGAGGTCCCTTTAATTCCCCGTTTCACCAATCAGGATTTTCGTATAATAAATTCAAAAAATTCCGGTTTTTTTGTATGCACGCGTTATAATGAATTTATACATAGAATATTTATTTAATATATTGTGTATTAACATTAGTATGTTGCGCATGAATTTACATACATAATGTCAAATAGAATCGCCATTTATTTATAAAATATACAATACAGCATTGATGAATATATAAACACATTATTACAAAGCATTGTTATAATTTATATTGACATTTATGCTGTTATTATCACCTTTTATGATGATATTTGGCATAGAATCATCACCATTTAAATTTTCTTCAATAAATAACTCATCACTACCAGACTTTTTTTGGTTGGAAGTTTGAAAGCTTTCTTTAAAACATCATTATTTATTTTTTTGGACCTAAGGTTTTCCTTATAGATGGGTGATTATCAATTTCTTTTAAAGGTTTACCTTGATTGTTTGAAAAAAATTTTCAATTTAAATAAAAAAGTTACAAATGATAAGAAATAAATTATGAACCAACACAAATAGAATTGAAAGATTAACTTAATGACAATAAGGAACAAATTAATGAGTGATGAAGTCATAGATGTGATTTTATTTTATTCATTTCCAGTATAGACTGGTCTTGGGCAAGTGATGCCTTTAAACTCATCCTTTACAAATGGGTGAATATCATTATAAAGGTATTCTTGTCTTTTGTAATCCAAAGGAGGTGGTGTAAATACTAAAATAGATTAAGATTTAATCTCTTCAAAAATATCTGCTTTCATAGTTTTTGATAAATTGAATTCAGTCAAAGATCCATTAACAACCTCTTGAATTTTAACAACACCAAGATTAGATGCTTCAAAAAGAAAATGTTGATGTTTCTGTATATTTGGCAATTTCTTAAAATAAATTCCAAAAATAGATTTGATATCCAAATATTGAAAACCTTTTCCACCTTCATAACATTGTGCTTTATTTAATCCAGCTGGACTAGACTTTTTTACCACTTCAACCACATGATCCAAATAATCTACTCTGGTTTTTTAATCATGCCAAAATTACCATCACATTTGAATTTAGTATGTTCAGGAATCATGAAATTCAATTCAATACTTTCATAATATCCACAGATTACCAAATATAAATAAAATCAAATAGTCACACAAATCAGTTCTTGGACTCATAATTTGAATTTCTGGTATCAATTGATGTCATAATTTTCTGAATGCATCATATTTTAAGGATTTCAAATTGTTATCTTCTTCCAGACCGGCCAGAAAATCCCTGTACACTGATTTATAACTCATTTCAGCTGGTAAGAATACAATTGATTGAGTTATTCTATTGTTAGTTCTTCCTGGGCTTGGTAATCCATGAACTTCTGCATAATTTTCTAGAAAATTCTTTACTACTTCAGCAATATTTTTATCAATCATCATCTTAGTTTTTCATTGAGGCATTCTTTTAATATTACCATGAATTCTTGACAGAAGACCATTGTTCATCAAATGATTTCTAATATTTTCAAAATAAGTTCTACCAATTCCCAACATATTAAGATAAGTTCCTTGACAAAGGGGTGTATTGTGATCTCAGTGATAGAAAGTTTTTTTATTAGATTTAGTTTTCTGTTTAAGGCATCTGCTAGTGCTTATCAATTCCCATCCATTGCCTTAAGTTGAGCCATTAAAAATATGTCTTGTTCTGTTTTAGAAAGAGCTCAAAAGGATTTTCTTAATTCTGCAAATTGTTCTTTGGGAATTCTTGAAGAGCAACCACAATCTCAACCTTTTTCTAAAAAATCAATTGCTTTTTGATATTCATTAGAACCATTATATTTATTATTATTATTACTTTTCATATACACTTATCCCTATATATATAATTTTATAATTTTATGTTCACTTTGTAGGTTTTTTAAAATTGAGATGGAGAGAGACCAATCAAAGAACAAAATATTTAAAAATTGATAAACGTTTTATTTTCATTAACAATACAATTTAATAAAAATGGTTTATATCTTTAATAATTATGCATTTTTCTTATTGAAAATGGTTTTCTCTGATAAGAAGAATTACAAATGAAACCCAAAAAGGACATGAATGAGAAAATTTCATTATACTTATTCAAAAATAATATCAAAATTCATATGTCAGGGAACTTGAGATCTCTGCTATCTCCAAGATTGTCAAAAGTTTGTCTTGTTTTCATTCTGTGAAAGCAGTCATCAGGCTGAAAGATTTAATTTCACCTTTTATGGGATAATACATTCATCTTTGAGTTCTATGAGATCTTAATGGGATAGAGATTCCACTAATTGCAGGTGAAAAGCATTTTGTTATCATATTTTGTTAATATCTTTTCCTAGAGGGCTCCAAGTCAGATGAATGAACAACAATATAAAAATAAGCAGAGTTCAGTTATAAGGTGAATATTATTCTTTTTTTTCAAATATCGCCAATGATTTATTTTAAAGTGAGGTATTATTATTATTATTATACATCATTCATAATAAAAACTTCATATATGGAATTTTACTCACTGTTGGTTTTATATTTAGGAGTGTGAAAATATGACTCTAAATTGACTTGTTATTCTTAACAGACCACATAGTCAACTTTCAACTATATTGTTACATGCACAATTACAATTCCCAGAAATGCAACAGTTAATGATCTCCAAACTGAAATTTGGAATCATTTGGAACCTCCATTTAGTAATACTCTTTTGGATATTCATCAAATTTATTAGAGAGATGGAAAAATGTATGTGATCACCAGCTTCAATCTCTGATTTTTTTCAGAGTGGAATTTTCTTGTAACTTATTGCATACTCCTTATGTGAATCACAAGATGAATAATCAATTTTTTAATTTGTATTCACATTATACAGTTATAGTAGTGATACATATTTTTTATTTCATACAATAAAACAAGGTTTTATGATATCAGCTACATAAGTGATTGATTCAGAAAAAACAAAAATAAAATATATTTAATATGTTTTATGGAGTGCAAGCAATTCTACCAAACATCTACAAGAATTGGGTCTCAGAGTAAACTTAAAACTCCAAATACTTTTGTAATTTATTAATGCTGCTTGTTTTTTTGTTCAAATAATATTTTATTATCTCATTACATAAAAAGCTAAAGTCTGATGTGAAAAATTAAAATTAATCTATATGATAATTTCCGAGTATATATTAATATATTCTGATAAATAAAAAAATAAATGAATGTGTGCATTATGCTCTCAAGTGATCAAAAAAGATCAGCATGTAAGAATATTATGTATTAATAATCAAATAAACAAATGTGAAAAACTAAGTGAAAAAAACCTTTTGTTACAAAAAATTGGAGTCATTTATCTATTAATGATTATTTATAAATATATATGATGATTATCCTTTGGTTTTTCCTTCCACACAATGCCTCTTAGTTGCAGGTTCATCATTAACAGACACCCTATCCTTTAGCAACCCAACGATTGCTTCCATAACTTCTTTTACTCCTTGACAAAGTCTAGTATCATCATCCAGGGATGCTTCAGTTAATGAGATATGATATTCAGATTTACTTGTGCACCAGATACCTTTGCTAGTGTATAATATGAAGTACCAATCTGATCCTGTAGACACAATGCCATAGAGGTAGTCATAATATGAATTCCCAAAGGCTTCATCCAATTTTCATTTTCTTTTGTTTGTCTATGAAGTAAAGTATCACAAATCCAATATAGTTAATCATAAGTAACATTACATGTTCAAAAATTATAAAAAAATATGATATTTGCTCTCTAACTTGAGGCTCATACTTGCTGTGCACCCATGCATTGCATTAAATTCTGAGCAAATCCGGTAGATACTTGATACTGCTTACCCTCAGTTATACAGACTAGTTCCTCCAGGATATTTGTGTCATCCAGAATTTTTTTAATTGCATAGTCAACATGACCAGTATTTTCTTCACCAATCACTTCAAACTGAGGACTTATGGTAATCTTTCTTTTGGTAATGCTCTTGACTATATGAATAGCAGAATGTAAGATAGATGAGATATACTCACAACGCATTGCCTCATTATTATCAACTACTGTTTCCATATTCCCAGGTGATGTTTTATTTCTTTTGTGCAATGGAGAAATTCTGCATCATTATCATCAAGTTTATGGATGTCTTATAAAATCACAAAATTAGAAATGGTCAGGAAAAAAAAAACAACAATGCATAAAAACAAGATCATATTTTATATACCTGGTTTGAATTGGGGTATGTCTGCTATATTTTTACTATCAATTCCATGCTTCTTTAATACCTCATGCAGATTTTTCAGAGTTCTATATGATGAGTATGGCTTCAATTTTTTCTCTTTGACTTCTTTGACGAAGTCTGCAAGTCTTGATGCAGGTCCACCCTTCATGCCATAAATACAAAGCTTTTCTTCAGTAAACTGAAGAAAATCATGACCAGTGATCTTTTCATTGCGAATAATCTCCAAGTCATCATTGTCAAGCTTCAGGTCCTCTTGCTTGTGCAAAAATTTAATAAGTTCTTCATCATCTTCATCGACATATATTGCTTTTACTATTCCCGCGGCATGCAATTCCTTCCCTAGATCATCAATTTCCTCAATACTAGCAATTCGATTTTTATTGTTTACATCAAATATTATGAAATTATCAAGTGTACGGCATGGTATAGTATAATTCACGTTATCATAGCCGTCGGGAGGACATCCTTCATTGAATGAATCTTCACCTATAAGTTCTAATTTTTCATGTTCTTCTACCTCATTTTCCATGAAAACATAAAATCTTTTTGTGTTTACTATGTATATATATTGATATTATAATTATAATTATTGACAAATAGCGCATAATATATATATATAAATTTTTATAATAAATTCCAAAGAAAAAACAAAATTCTAACCAGAGCTTTTTTTTTTAGTAGTAACAGGCTGAGAAACTTTTTTACAAGCTCTATTAAAATTGAATTCTTCACTTTCATTATTATCGCTACCTGACTCACTTATTTTACGTTTAATACGACGAGGAACAGGAGTTGAACAATCTACTTCCATTTAAGATATTATAAAAAGAAATAGTAATAATTAAAAAAAAAAATTTTTTTTAAAAGAACGCGTATTTGTATATACATTTTAAAACGTATGGTGGGTGATACAGTCAGGGAATATACCAACCAAATTTGGAATTTCCAAATACTGTAATGATTGATTGATTGGGGTATTCGATCAACAAAAAAGGAAAAGCATAGTGGAAGTTTGTTGTTACACGAAACGTTATACAGAACTCATTGCTTCTGAAACTTCGCCAGTATATAGTTGTTACCTCTCTAAATTGGAGATCA